CTTCTCCCCCTGGAAGCCACGGATATTTGATGAATTATGGCGAATTTTTATTACTTATTTGATAGGCATCGAGTTACTAATATGACTTCATGTAGGCTATGCTTCCTAATGTTGAAATCAGCTTCCAAAACCAAAAATTTTTTAATAAAGCAAGAATCAAAGAATATGCAATGTAACCATATTTATTTTCAAATCCTCATTCTTGAAAGTGAAATTATATTTTTTGGAAATTTTGTATGAAATCTGTCAACCACGATGTCATGGTCGAGGTCTTCACCTATCACGATGTATTCCAACCATCATGAGGCTATCTAAATGAGCATTTGTCATAACAGAACGCAAATTATTTTTAATTAGTCTCATTGAATTATTATTATTATTATTATTATTATTATTATTATTATTGTTGTTGTCGTTGTTGTGATGAAAAGTTAACACAAAAAATATAGTGGCTAAACGAATATAATATGTAAATATTTTTTTTTATTTGTTTGTTCCCCGACAAAATTTATCTATAGCCCACCAGCACCCACCCCCACTCTGGCACCACCACTGTGACTAGAGAAAATTTCAAGCTGTCCCTCACCAACAAATACCAAGTGTTACAAAAGCTACTTGAAGAAGAGGCTGATCTGGAGACCCACTGGTAAAAGGTGAAGGTGACATTTACAACAGCCTGTCAGGAAGTAGTGGGCCCCAGGAGACACCAAAAAAGGAATGGATATCGGCAGACACACTGCGCAAAATACAGGAGAGAAGGCAGAAGAAGGCAGCAGTAAACAATAGCCGATCAAGGGCAGCAAAGGCTAAAGCACAAGAAGACTTCACAAAAGTCAACAGAGAAGTGAAGAATAGCGCAAAAGCAGATAAGCGGAAGTATGTTGACAGCCTGGCAAAAGAAGCAGAGGAAGCAGCAGACAGTAACAACATGAAGCAGCTATATGATACCACCAAGAAACTGCCAGTGAAGTACAGCAGACCCGAGCCACCAATCAAGGACAAAGAAGGGAACACTGTCCAGGGAACAGAGCAACAACTGAACAGATGGGCAGAGCACTTTGAGGAGCTTTTGAACAGACCTGTCCCTCCAAATCCCCCTGACATCAATCCAGCCGATATAGAGACCTAGATATCAACTGCGGACACCCAACGAGAGAGGAATTAGAAAAGCCATCAAACTCAAGCACTCAAGGCAGACCTGGAAACAACCTTAGAGATGCTCTACCCTCTGTTCGTGAAGATTTGGGAAGAAGAGGTACCATCGGACTGGAAGGAGGGCTACCTCATCAAACTACCTAAGGAAAATGACCTCAGTAAATGTGCGAACTACAGAGAAGGCTGGTTTCCGCCAGAACATCGACCAGATTGCCACCTTGCGCATCATCGTTAAGCAGTCCTTAGAGTGGAACTCATCGCTGTATATCAATTTCGTCGATTATGAGAAGGCGTTTGACAGCATTGATCGTGAGACACTCTGGAAGCTGCTACGCCTTTATGGAGCGCCAACCAAACTGGTCACCTTGATCAAGAACTCTTATGAAGAATGACTTGCCGGGTGGTTCATGGCGGACAGCTCACAAATAGCATCGGGGTGATGACTGGAGTCCGACAAGGTTGCCTCCTGTCGCCTTTTCTATTCCTCCTGGTGATTGACTAGACCATGAAGAGGTCAACAGCACATAGAAGAAATGGAATCCAATGGACGCTATGGGATCAGCTTGAAGACTTGGACTTCGCTGACGACCTAGCCCTGCTTTCCCATAGTCACCAAAAGATGCAGGACAAGACAACAGAGCTGGAAGCCACCTCATAAGAAGTTGGTCTCAAGATCCATGAGGGCAAGACCAAGATATTCAAGATCAATACGAAAAGTGAGGACCCAGTCACACTGCATGGAAGCAAGCTGGAAGAAGTGGATGCCTTTACATATCTGGGCAGCATTATTGACAAGCAGGGGGGCACAGACGCAGACGTCAAAACAAGAATCGGTAATAATAGTGGTGGTTATGATGATATTGATGATGATGATGATAATGTTGATGGCGATGATGATGATGGCAGTGATGATGATGTCGATAATTATTATGTTGATGATTGTAGGATAAGAATCAACTTAAAAAAACCCCCAAAAGTACCTGTACGACTCCGATGGAATCAGAATAGGCTGTTATGTGACACAAAGGTATTAATGGTTCAGCAGAGAACCTTAATTATAAAAATTAAAATGAAATGTGCCTGTGATTACAGTAGGTGAATCCATAATCTACAATTAATTATTATGTAGACCTAGGCCTATGATCAGTATCAAGAAATTTCATGTCACCTTTTTTGTTGTAACCCCCGAAATCCGGATTCACAAGTGCCGGGATGGTTTCTGGTGTGAGATAGTCTCATTCTTCAAAACTTCTATATGAAAAGTGTTAATCATAGATAAATTTGTTACCGTATTTATTTGAATAAACATCCCCTCTAGAGCCTCATTTGGAATAAATGCCATAATCTTTTCCTCAAATAATCAACTCTCCACCCAACCAAACGACTGTAAACAAAGCAACATCACTGTCAACAAATTCTTTTGATTTCCTACTCCAGTAGAATTAAATTTTCTTCTTTCATTTCGATATTAATTATGTGTTGTAGTGAAATTTATTTTGAGTATATAGGCCTACGATCTAATTCACACACACAAAATGATTATGATAATGATGATGATGATGATGATGATGATAATGATGATGAGGATGTTGATGAGGATGATGATGATGATGGATGATGGATGATGATGATGATGATGATAAACGCCTCCCTCAAATAAACGCTTCCTCAAAACCCTTCTTAACAATGAATGTCCCTGGGTGTTTATTCCAATAAATACGGTATTTAAAATTGCTCTCATTATCAAGCAGTCTGCTAAACGATTTCGTTTTTGCGTAGACTGGAAAATACCAGGATATTGCAGCTGGATTGGTAGGAAACTGTCATTGTTATTTACATTGTTTAATAAAAAAAAAATACACATGAATAGGCCTACAAATGGAATTTTTTTTTTATCCATGTATCAAATTAGTTACAAACATAAGGCCACAAAATATCAGTATTAGAACCAAGAAAACCAGCCAACTTCATACAAACAATAACAATGTTGAAAAAAAGGGTGGGATGTTGCTGTTTTACTCCACGAATGTCTCTATTGTACCGTTTGTGCAACAGCATGATGATGGGATTGGCTTAATGGAATGTTCCATTTATTGCAAAGTGGAACAATGGCTGACGATTACTGGAAATATAATCCACTGGAGGACAATCTACAATATATTACACCAAAAATATATTATTATTAGACTTGATATATCTAATTTAATTTATATATTAAAAAAAATATTACCGTATCCCTCTGTTATGTATGGTCAACACTATTGTATTAAATGAAACATGGACTTTAGGATCCTCAATATCACAAAGACAAAATTTGAAATGCAGAAGTACTGAGAAGAATGAATACAAAAAGGACATTAAAAAAAAAGAAAAAAAAAAGAGAGAAATCTGGAATACCTCGGCCATCTTGTCAGAAAAGAGGTACTGAAAAGAACATTATTGCAGATGGAAGGAAGTTAGACCATGGAGGAATTAGTTTCTCCATGGTTAGACCAAGGAATTATGTAGATGAATGAATGAACGTGAGGTACCGTAAATGCTCAAATAAGCACTGCGGCGCTTACAACATTTTTTAAGGCTTCAGTGCAGCGCATTTTTGATAGCGCCGGTTGTTCAAGAGTGGTGCTTATAAAAAAATATTGGCACGACGCTTTCAATGCCCGTTCCCATGTTACTTACCTCACATATTCCCGTAGTTCGGTAGGCCTATCATAGTTCTTGCGTCATCGTAAATAAACGTTTATATTAAATAAATTCTTGTGTCTTCATTGAGTTATTTATTCATGTTAACACTGTATACATTGTATTTAAAACCCCGTTTCTCAAAGGGTTTCATTACACACAGGGTAATTATACTCTCGATCAAGCGCCGCGGCGCTTAATGGAGAGCAGCACTTGGAAAAAAAATGTTTGGTGCGGCGGTTATTGGCAAAGGGAAGGACAGCACAGTGTAGAGTGGAATAGAAATCCATGGTAGCCAACCCTGCTTTAAGCATGCAGGGGACACCGACCGACAAGTAACATTTGACCCTGAAGGTGTGTTTGGTTGTTATATTAGGAAATATTGTTTACGAATTAATTTATAAAAAATTTAAGTTTGATAATTTTATATTATATTTAAATTTTCTACTGTATTTTATTTTAACTGTAAACACGTTTCTACTGTTAGACGCACCAGTTCCTCTGGCTGTGTCCTGTTTTCATTTGTCGTGATCCACTGTTGTGTAAATTTTTTTGTGCAAAACAGTGATACTTAAGATAATATATTCAATGTAGGTATATATGCTGCCATTTTGAGCTTTAACTCATCTTAGAAAGTCATACACGTTTTATATGATCTTGTATCAGAACTTGTTCTTATCTGTGTGCTTAAGTAGATTAAAATACATAATTATTATAATTATTTTTTTTTTTTGTGAAAAAAAACGTCAGGGATTATGAATCTTAACAAGGTTGTATTTCAAATTCATTGGCAGTTTATGTCTACCCATATATAAACTGGCACAAAATCATTTATGTACTGTATGTAGGCCTAAATTGTACTGTATTGTGAATAGCTCATGTGAAATACAGTTAAACTTGCCTAAGTGGATTTCATTTTACATGGCAAATTGTTGTTTTCCATTAATTAACCATCTGTAAGTCAAATTTTATCTAAGTCGAACAGTTTTTCCACGCTATTTTGGATTCGACTTAGGCAAGTTCAACTGTATATACTTTCATATGAAAATAAAGTTCAAATTTGAAGTAATGTACGCTGTCCTCTATGGTCTCACACGGAACGATCACCATCATTCATTTAAGAAACACAAACAACAAAGAAAAACAAAGAGACAGTAACACACTTTCCTGTTTATCTATCCTAACATTTACTGAAGGAAAAAGCTGCTCATAATGTGTACAGCAACAGTATCCAAAGAGCAATTACTAGCAGTCAGGCTAACACCGCCCTCAACAACAGACAAGTTAACACCGCCCTCAACGACAGACAAGTTAACAGTATTCTTAAATGTTTATATTACAGGGCTATTGTGGTGGTGTTTTCTTCAATATGTCTCCATTTTAATGGCCAACATCAGAACGCATTTTTTTCTCGGTTTATTTTTCGTAGCAATTACAACAAATGCTGTGCTTAAGGAGGTATTTACAAAATATAGAAATAAGTTAGTTTGGCATTGCTACTAAGTAATAGTTGTGACTCATTTCATATGCTTCTCAAATCAGTAAACGAGACACAAATGTCACACAACAAACCTGATAAAAATGTTTGGATGATGAGGAGGCAGACTGAAATGACCCATCAAAAAGGTATTTCTTGATTATAGTAAGTTTCCAAACTGGCCAATTACAACACTGTATCATTCTCTTATGATCGAAATACCTTCAAAGTTAAACAATATGAATTTTAAAAGGGGGTGGGGGGAAGAAATATATATCCTTTATAACTATGTATGCATATATACACCGCTATGCACATACAGGCATTTATACATCCTACACATGTATATGTACCTGTATGATAACACTCAAGCATATATCCAAACATAAAACTGCTATTTCGAATGTGAACTTTCATAGACAATAACCCCACCCTGTCCAGACTACGAAATTTTATTTGACAAAAAAGCTGTTGTCTGCCCATATATACTGTAGTCATGATGTGCCTATATATGGTCATGATGTGATGTCATCATGACCATATATAGGCATGTCACATGTTACTGTCAAATAGAATTTGATAATCAAGACAGGGCTTAAAGTAAGATTGTTAAATCTTCAGACAACGCAACAAAACAACAAAATACGATTGATAATCGGTCTTGATAGGTGATGGCATACATTATACAGACCAAGTTGTTGTGATATACTTATGTACAATCCTATCCTATGATATGATAACATCATTGATAGTAATAGTCCAAGTAACGGGGGATCTTACTTCACACTCTACATTGTTTATCTGGTCGCTTAACCTACAGCATTGGTCCATAGTTTTGATATTAACATAATAATAATAAAAAACAAAACATTTTTAAAAAATATAATAAAACAGTGATTGATAACAAATACCACATGATTTATAAATCCGAAAAAAAGTAAAGAAAATGAAAAGTACATTTGAAGGCACTCAGCATTAATAGTTTGTGCATGAATTAGGGTTAGAAATTTGCTCTTCCAGTAACTGTCGCCACAAAAGAACACCCCGCAGTTTAAAGGTCATTGTTTGAGCAACTGTCTACACACAAGGAAACCTGCTGTGTGAGGGTGACTGTTCCTGTAATACACTACGCCCTGCTATGGTATTAGGAAGCTTTCGATACTACAACGGTGGCAAGACCTAAGATGTGATAACGTCACATAAAACCATCGGCGTATGAATCAAAATTGAGTTCTTGTTGACCTGCAAATTTGAGGACATGTTACCGGCTGATCTACGCCAAAAACGAACAAGTAATAGCATCCTAGCGCCTTGTTTTCGTCATGATGGAAAGCTTCCTATTGCCGTGGACCACACTGTTTACATACACGTGTCCAAGTCTACACAGCAGTCTTTAAATACATAGGGTTCTATGATCAAAGTCTATTTTTAGAAATACAGCCTGGGACAAAATGACTGATTGCTCTTTTTCTTAATTGTGTAATTGTTACGGTAATTAACATTCTAAACTCTGTTATTTCATTAATTTAATTTTTCCTCCCTGATTTCAGTGAACAAGAATTTTAACTTTGATTTAAAATCAAGCATTGCTAATTCTTGTAGGAACCATGACAATAAAATAGCAAAGAAAGTAGTAGAACAACACCCAAGAATAGAGAACAATAGCTACCGGGGCATAAAAATGTTTTCCATTCTGAAATAAAAAATTGAGACCATGAATTAAATAATCAGCAATATAATATAAGCTATTTGATTCAAGCTCACTCAATTTGTTTTTAATTTTGTGTAGAAAAGGGAATTCAATTTATTTCCCTATTTATTTTGAAAAAAATTGATAATATGTATTCATTTTTGCAGATTAATGGTCCAGATTGCACTTTGACGAACTTTTATTAAAGACCGATATAACGTGGACACCAATTCCCATAATAGAGGATTGCTCATACCAGTCTGGGATGTTCCATTTAACTGGTGGTATATATTAAGATATTTTTAAAATATAAAATTGATGGGTATTCAGACAGGGAAAGACTTGTTTGTTTTTTATTTGAGCTTATTAACTAACAGCTTCGTTTCACTGCATGATCTCAAGTTGAAAAGTAACCCACAATAATGGAGTTATAACGTTCACTTGAGGGATAATCATAAGGTTTCCCTATTCTTTAAAAACACATAATACCAGAATGACCAGCCTATTTTTTGCAACGGTCGGCACAATCTATGACTTTATATACAAGCTAAAATAACATCATCTTATAACTACAGCAATCAATGGCTTCAGTCATGTTACTCAGCACAGAACACAACATCTCATGATGCAAAATTCATCATCATTAAATGCCAATCAGATTTCAATAGCTTTTTTTTTTTAAACCAATACAAACTTATTAAACCTACATATTATATTATACATCTGAAAATTGCCAGTTCTACTGAAGGGGAAGGGGAGGGGTAGAGGGAAGGGGAGTGCCAGAGAAGGCAGATAATGGCAAATATTCTGCAGTGTAACAACTGGCTTAACCACTCACTTGGGTAAATGTTACCATTGATACCATTCACATCATCATGGACACCAGGTTGGTTTTTTTTTTTTTAGACGCCACATATCTACAAACTGATCAGAAATAAGTACACCTTAATATACTACAGGTGCAATGAGCTCACCTGTATATCAACCTATTTAACACACCTGTTGGTTATTCATAAACACACAGCATTTTAATTACACTGTGTACAGTTTCGCCCATTTCCAACACGCAGTGTGTGGCATCATACCGAAATTTAATTTAAAAACACAAATCTGCACATTACAAGAGACGGTGAGTTAGTAGTGCACTGATTCAATACAGGTAGTATAGAAGCACCAGTACAAGTTGTATATGTACACACCTGCGCATGAAACAAAAGGCAGGGGGACCCGCAGGTTAACTGACCGGGGAAAGGCAAACCCAAGGGTTTTCTTTTCAATGTGCACACTTACACTCACCCAGATCGTTTCTGTTTATTTAACCCACAATGCTTTTCTCTGAACACTGAAACATCTTAGCAATTATATAAACAACAAGTTTTTGTTTATACAAGTTTATCAATTTCATCACATGTAATAAAATAAATCAGACATTCACATTTGCAATCAATCTAATTAATTAATTAATTACTCTAATTAATTAATCAATCTAATTACAATTTTTGTATCTTCCATCACGAAGCTTAAATTACAGAACATTAAAGAAATGTAATAAAGTTTACAGACACAAGTAACTACGTATCTGATCGCCTTAATAGAACAAAATAAGTTCCAAGGGTTTGCTCTGGGAATCCCTGTCCAAGCATGTGTTCAAACAACACGGGAATTATGTTGATATGTAGCACATTATCAAATCATACTCCTTCCAACTTTTCTTTGACAATGAAAATCAAGAATATTATTTATATTAAAAATGATATGAAATTGTTTAAAAAGTTCACTTTTAAAGGAGAAGTTTATAAATCCAAATGACAACAAAAACTGGGAATTATAATTATGTTTAGGTTATTTTGTCATCAAATTCGTTTTAGTATCATTACTTTTGTGGAAAATTTGTTTTCATCAACCTGTTATTGATTATAGTAGGTCTGAAATACACAGACTGTAGAAATGCGTTTAAAATGTTCCACCCTGGATAAATCCAATATTTACAAAGGAAACACAAATATAAATTATGAATTTTTGTTTCAGATTCAAAAAATAAAGACTTTTAGTAAGAGCAACACTATAAGTTAGGTAGTTTTCCTGGGGCTGAACTTTCTCTCCATTAAGTGGCAGAAACCTTACATTCTTAACCTACGTTTTAAACACAGCTTGACACAGTACGATACTGCGAAGATAGATAAATAAATAGATTCAGAATACCTTGTCTCAAAAGCTATTGGTCAAATTTTTACATGCATCCTTTCCAACTCACTCTATGCTTCTAACTACAGTAGTTGGTACTTTTTTTTATACAGAAAATTGGACAACAGATTTCTATTTAGATACCCTCCCTTATAACATTAGCAGATAAACTGATAACCACAACACTCCTTCTCTCTATATATAGCATCACTTTTAGAATTGTCATTGGATTTTTTTTCCTCCATCATATTCCTTATATCGAGAAAAAAAATGTCACCGACTTTACAAAAATATACAGGGTGAAGTGCTGAAGATAGCTGATAGGAAAGGAGTGGGTTGGAGGGCAGTCTAAAAAGGTTTTACACGTTACCCTACGTAGCACACGCTGTATGTGCAACAACGGGAGTCCAAGACTATTGACAATGTACGGCATATCATCCCATCCTGACCCAACCATCAACAAGTAAAATGCACTTAAAAGAATTCAGTCACAACGACAAAATAGTAGTTTTGAAACAGAAGAGGGAAGAAAGGCTTGTAACTGTTAGGCCTACTAGCGAAAGGTACAGTTGGCTCGTCAAGAGGATTGTACTCACGTAACCACAATCAGTCTACGTGTAAAACGCACACGCTATTTCCTATGAACTGGTGCATGTTTTTTCAGCTACCATATTGTGTTCCTTCCAAATCTAATTGTGCACAGTTTCAAGGTTAAAGGTTAAGAAATGATTGTGTACATCCCACTAAATCACTCTTGCATCCATCACATGATAGTACACTCAAAGCGACCTCTTGGTAAAACGCTACTTCAGGCTTCTCTGATAACCGGTACTCTTAGATAAAAATCCTTCCGAAGCAGGTAGACTGCAGAAGCCTAGGGTATTAGGTATACATTATGTTGACACAGAATTTTGTTTTATCAGTTTGATCTTATGTACAGTTTCTGCCCATCGTCATCATTGTCGCTATTCCGCTCGCCTTTGTGTTGAAACGTTGTCACAGAAGTTCGTATTGCCTGAGATGCATGCGTTGTATGATGTCGCGGCAGTCGTTGAACACCCTTTTGATGTTTTCTGTGTCCACAGCGCATGTAAAATGAGGATAGCAGTAGTGTCTTCCATCACCGCTTGCCGTGCTGATTTTCTGGATTAAAAAAACAACAAATGTATTGATTTTAAAAAAGGTAACAGAAATAGTTTAAGATAAAGGAAACAAACTTAAAAATGAAAGAACTTCTGAAATGTTGACCACCAAATTTCACTCAATTTTCAATAGAGAAACAAGGCACAGTTAAATATTTAAAAAAATCATACAAATGGTAAATACACATCATAAGGAAGGAATGACACTCCACTCTATGAAACAAACTATAAGATGATGTTGACAATGTCCAGGTATAAACCAAAGTTTATGTAGGTAACTGAAGGTAATAAAAAAGGTTACAAAAGGAGAACTTTAGCGTTGCTTAGGCCCAACCGACCTAAAACATTGAATATATAGGGTTGGTTGGAGCGCAAACATACTTGTATGATGTTGCAAATGGCCATTTTCTAAGCTATGATAAACTTTATACCATGACCAGAGCTTCAGCCACGTAGATACCTTTCTATCAATCATTGGAAGATCAGTGGTTACCATAGAATTAAGCATAGGATAACAAAAAAAAAACAAAAACAAAAAAAAAAAAAAAAACTGATGACTGATTTTCTAATGTGACTGCACTTCGGCAAACACGAACAATAATCTTTTGGTCTAATGTTAAAGATGATGGCAATGATGACAAATGATGATGATAGTAGCATTGAAAATAAAGACAGCAGCATTAAAATTGAAGATGTTGATAGATAGATGTTGATTGATTGATTGATAGATAGATAGATAGATAGATAGATAGATAGATAGACAGACAGACAGACAGACAGACAGACAGACAGACAGACAGACAGACAGACAGACAGACAGACAGACAGACAGACAGATAGATAGAAATCTTTCTTTTTTCTGTATATTTAATCAATTTGACATTGTTCTTCCTTAAGGTCCAGTTAACAGTTAAAACATATTTAAAATATAAAATAGCATTAAGAAATTAAACACAAAACCAATGAAAATTGATAAACACAAGAAGCAAAAAGAGAAAGTTTCGTATTAGATCAAATTTTTGAAGAAATGCACAGTTGAAGAATTTATTGAACTGCGAGTATCTGGGGAAAGATTGTTGCACAGTTTAACTGAGCGGTATTTTAATGGTTTTTTTCCCCCAAATTCATTGTTCCATTTTGATTATACATTATCTTTATTGTGTTTCTATATAAAGATGAAATAAAGAATTTTGTCGGTAGACTTTAATATTATGGATATATACTAACCAGGAACTCATCACGAATAAAGTACTTGGCTCTGGCAACTCCCGCATCCTCACCTGATTCCAATGTAGCTGTAAATATACAAAATATAATTTAGTCACATACCGTAAAACCTAGGATAGTAACCCAATGGGCTTAACCTTGAGAAGAAAAAGCCCATCTCTAATTGAAGTCCCCATCCCCCTCGCTCTTTAGTGTGCAAAAGCAGCACCGAATAGAAGCCCAGGGGATTATTTTCAAGATAGCATGGGCTTCTATTCAAGGCTACTTTAATAAGCCATAATTTAAAAAAAATAATTTTCTTGCTTTCTTTTAACAGGATTTAATGGTTGAAAATGTTTGAAGTGGCCCTATTGTGTTATAGTAATAATTCCTGAAATTTGCAGCATTCTTTTTGAAAAGAAGTTCCCCCTCTTTACTTTGCAAAGTAGCCTCAAAAAAGAAGCTCTCTCGCGACAAGAAACCCAACCAAAGGTAGCAAAAGAAGAAGCCCAGGGCGTCTATTGGAGGTTTTACGGTTGTACAATATCCCTTTAAACACAGTATCTTTTCGGACGATGTTTAGGCCATTGATTCTTCGCACAACATCACCCATGTGAACATTGAAGAATCAGAGTAAAATCTTCAGGAAAGAGCATAAGATTGCTTCCAATGTACTGTACAGCTCAATGTACATTTCTGGAGTGTCGGACCATCTTAGTCTGGACACTTACCCCTAAACACACATGATTATGCAAGTTTACGCTAGTCAGATTTTGTGTATTGTGGTCAGTATAATCGAAGATACTTTCTGTTAAAAAAAACGCAATGATGTGCTGGATATTAGCATGTGCTCAAGTAAGTTTAATCAAGTTGCTCCATTTCCATTGGACTGAGTTATTCTAACTGGGCAGTGTTCACTCAAATGGGTAAGTATTTTGATAAAAGAGAATGGCACACATGTTGTTCACACTTGAGTATTTTTGTCAATGTGACCAGGTACACGCTTAGGTGCATGGCAAAAATTAATCCAATGCGAACACTGCTTTACACCGACATAGCAATCAGTCCATTTATGATCACAAATTATCTCTGAAATGTACTTTATTTCACTTCCCAAGACTCGACGGAGAATTTATAACAATCTTGGAAAAACTTCTTGAGTATCAAAAGGATGCGGAATGATACTTACAATCCTGCGGTAATGAATATGAATCAAATTCACTGAAGTAGGTCTCTAATTTCGATTTTCCTGCCTTGATTTTATCAGCTAATAAATCCTGCTTGTTCAAAAATAGGATTATGGAAATTGTTTTCAACCACCTAAAAAGCAGATAAAGAAAAGAAAAAACTCAACAAGATTTATTTTACACAACATTGAACAAGATAGGGATGCAATGTAAATACTAAGACAGAAAACTTTAAATGTCTTCTGTGATTTTTTTAAATAATCCTGAGAGAATTTTATATAATATTAATATTATACAATGTTGCACCTTACATGAAATTTATCGTCAGTGGAAAACCTGAGCTAATTAAAATACTCAAGGTCCAATAGCGATAATACATGTCGGAGAATCCACAATTGGTGCCTCATTACACATCAGCCATTACTTGACCGGTTTGCTAATGTGCGAATTCCTGGCCATGTCAGCACAGCAATTTAGCGCCCTCTAGTTCTCAAGACAACTATATGGAGTACATCAAATTATGAGTGCTGGGAGAAAATGGAACTGTGATGAAAAATTTACCTATTGTTCCAAATGCTTTTGAACAAATCCAGCGATTCTCGCAATCTATTCTGATTCGGATCTTCTCTCAACACTAGATTATAGCTACTGCAAGCCACCACGAAGATAATAGCTGTCACATCTGAAAAAAGAACCGTATGACATACTACCTCATAAGAATACTTTATCCATCTAAAATTCATTAACAAATTAATATATAACATTCCCCATGCAGGGATTACACACCATGTCAAATAATAGATCAACCCGATCCATTAGCCATGTTCCGTAAAGCTACGTCAAGATTATCAAATTTTCTTTGCATGCCCATATATAGTCATGATGTGTGCCTATATATGGTCATGATGTGATGTCATCATGACCATATTTAGGTATGTCACATAAAATGTGATAGTCTAAAACAGGGCTTAAGATTAGTTAGGTTACCACTCATTTATCATTGTATTATTCCATAATTTAAATATTTTATCTATTTCAAACCTAAGGCATTCCTTTACTTCATAACATTTCTATATACACCTATATCAGGTTATAACTTCTTCGAATTTGTATCAAGTCTTTGTTTTGTGTGTAATGAATGTTTGTTCTTTATACTTTTTTAATAATTATGTATATTTGAGTTAATTCAGTTGATTACCACTATACAGCCATGTCATTTTTTTTATAGAGTAATAAACCAAAATGAATGAATTTCTCTACCTTTCGAATGTTTTCATCAATGTTTCTCTTTTCCTATTTTTTTATTTTAATTCATTTTTTGTTCTGTGTATCACTTTCTTATCTTTTACTATACTCCTCCGTTGACAGTTTCACTTTTGCTGTGAGGCCGTGACCCCACCTCCTTTGAATTTCATTGCTGTCATGAGGAGTGTACACTGCATGCGACCTACTCCCTTGAAGTCTGACCATTGAGGGCAGCATAATCTATATGACACACTCACCGTTAAAGCACTGAATCCATTTTCTTCTTTCATCTCTCTGCCCTCCAACATCAAACATGCTGTAAAAGATAAAAAAAATATTTAGAATAATGAACATCAAGGACCTACAATATAAGTAATTACCTTTTAATTACAAAAAAATATATTTAAGTAAGCTCCATCTTAGTGTAATCTGTCCAGCGACTACCAAAAACTTCAGATGGTTTAAATCAAACAACCTCAGCCCCTTTAAATTTTCTCCTGAGCAGTGTGGATCAATAGGGCCTATTATGTGCCTTCAACCATGACAACTATCTTGATAAAAATGTTATCTGTACACTTATGTAGCTCAAAAATATTAATATTAGGCAAACGAAAAATAATGCACACTCGTAAAAATGCTTCCGGCATAGCAAACAATGCCTCTGTCTGACTGCCAACCAAGCAATAGGCAAGTTTTTTGGCCCTACTTAAAATATACATTACAAGAAAATTTATTTTAAGTGCATCAGAGCTCCAGCATTTTGCACAAAACTACTTTGAAATTATTTTAAAATATTATTTCGAAGATTATTATCGCCAATATATGGTATTGATTACGTAGAATTTCTAGGTAAATTACACCAAATTACTTTTTTCCAGTATCAAGAATACTCTTTATTGACTGTCACAGTAATGAAGAACATGCAGATAATAGTAGCCATGGATCTATTTATATACACTGCTGCACAGTTCAACCAATATGAATAGATAATAATATATCTGCTATGTCATTGGAAATAAACCAATGGATCACAATGCATTCAATTAGCTTCATCTGTTTCTTCCAGTATGTGGAACAGACTTTTTTTAGATGATCCCTTGCAATGTACAGTAAGGCTGATGGATTGTGGGATGTGTTGTGGATAATGTTAGCAACTGAGATTGACAATCTAGGTAGGGGAACAATTCTGACAGCAAGCTAATAAAAATGTACTAAAATAAACATGAAACCTGTATTTTATCCAGAAATAGATTTATCCCTAACATTAAAAAAAAACAAAAAAAAAACAGTAGGTCTAATAAATAGAATAAATTACTGTATCTAGATAAAAAATAAATTAACAGCAACACCAACAATCAATCTGATAAGCTTTTAAAAATAAATTATTAACCTTTAATTTATATTTTTTAAACTGTTATATGCCCATAGTCATGATATGTCTATATATGGTAATGGTGTGATGTCATCGTGACCATATTTAGGCATGTCACATGATTCTGTCAAATAAAATCTGATAGTGTGGACAGGGCCTTAGAAAATATGGCCTCCTTTAAGTCTCTTTCACACACTGTAAAACCAGGAAATTTCGCGCACATTAAACTTTCGCGAATGGTCCAGATTCTCAAAAGTTTTATGGCGTGAATAATTTTCAGGTCACATTTTCTATGTTTCAAAAAAGATCGGTGAATGTCTAATCAGTTTCAGACATTGAGATTTTGGTCATTATAAATCACTAAATTACAAAAAAAAAAATTAATTTCCAACTTTTTTATAAAGACGAATGAACAATAAACAGCAAAAATTGTCGGTATTTCAAGGCCTAAACTCGCCGAGGACGATGCAATGCTGATCTAGGGCCTAGACCTAAATGGGGAATCCCCACAAATTGCAACATGTTCAGCATTTTAAAAATTGTATTTTTAATTATTTTGGTAGATTTTATTAAATGTGTATAAACTTAATAGAATGTATTTCAATTATTGAATCATTATTCTGACCTTAAATTCCGATGTTGAGCTCGAAAAATTTGTAAATTCTAGCCTATTCTAACTTACTCAGTAAGTATACTGATCAGGGTGGTTCTGATCATCACTGCATGTGATTGCACATGTGCAACCACTGTGACATGTATACTAAGAAGTTAAAATAGAAACTTTATTTTCGTACAATGACATACCACGATGTTCAGTCATCATTAATCAATGTGTAGGAAAATAATTTGTTAATAAAACAAATTTTTCATTGTAGGATGCTTGAATACCATACAAAATTCAGGAATATCATATACCGGTAAGTAAGTATTGTATGTGTGTAAACTTGTCTCTTTCTAAACTTTGCTTGGGATGGCCAGCCAAGTCCTGGTCCTCCAGCGGAGGGCTGCAGGCTTACGGCACCTAGTCCAGGTCTAGCTATTGTAGCCTAGGCAGAGTGGCTATAGGCCTATCTAACCTAGGCCTAGAACTCACGATACGATATTTTCAGCTATTGTATGGTATTCCTCTCATGAATAAAATTTAGGCTTCTGCAATTCGGGAAAACAGCCAAACTTATCAATTTGCGAAAGTTTCTGGTTTTACAGTACAAGTTAAAAGTTGTTTAAACATCTTTTTCCATTGGCAACATAGTTTACCAACCAATGAATAAATGAATGAATCAGGTAATTAATCAAATAATATTCCAATCAATCAATTTTTTTTCAATAACTTACTGAAAATTGACACCATCAACTTGGAACTTTGTTTCAAAGATGCCTGAGGTTAAGACACGACATCGCAGAATATCCTGCAAAAATGGTAAAAATATCATTTTAAATAAACAATAATATAATATTTCAACCACAAGAAAGACAATGAATAAATAAATTAACAATAAGGATATTTAAACAAAAAGGCAGTTAGCAAAACAACTTCCTTTATCAATGCTTTATTGTAATATATTAGTAATAACACCCACTTTAGGGTTTTGTAACACAATCTAACAATGAAAAGCTATCAATCTGACAAGGCCTACCTCACCAGAGCTGATCATTAAAGACAATGTTGCTTATACTTTAATCTAACAACCTTGACTGTTCCAAAAATAGCTAATGCAATATAAATAAGGAAATGTGTATATGAGTCTGCAAGGCTAGAAATGGGTGGAGGGCGATAGATATCATGCAGGACTACTAGCAAGATGTATTAAGGTCCAGGGGCAAGTAAATAAATGCCCTGGGAGCAAGTAAATAATGGTCCTGGGCAAGTCAACAATGGCTCTAGGCAATTGAGTATGTTTTATCCCCAATCCATACATACACATTTTTCAAAATGTAACAAGTTGTAACCAGGTTTGGGTGAGTGCTAAGCAGGGGTTCCCTGAGATGTCTCAGAAGAAAACAGACCAATGCGAGGTCTGGTTTTCTGTTTATTTTCCCTTGATATTTCGAGTTGTTAACTGCGCATGCGCAATGACCAGCCAAACAACATTTTTACCAGTTTGGTATGTAATTCAGTGTATAGTTCCCTAGAAAAGAGATGAAAATCAGACAAGGAGAAACTTCTGCATTCCGACAATGGTGAATGACTATGATGTTTGTCTCGAGTAATGTTGCCACTGTAGAGAACAGACTTAAAAATAATTAATAGTTGGCCGGGCGAGTTGGCCAACCTAGGCACAGCGGCCTAGGATAGGCTTGAAAGAAACCCACAAATACTGCCCTCAATTCCAAGTTTCACAAAATGCATAATGTGATATCTCGGGATGTCAAATTTGATAAAACTTATTAATAATTGTAAAAAGTTGTAACATGTTCTGTTAGTATAAATAGGGTTTTAGGGTAATTACCTAATATTCCCGGCAAGTGAACTGTCACATCAAATATCAAAATATAAAATGGGTCATTAAACCTCACATCAGCTGATATCCTATGCACTTCTGTCTAAAGGGATTTCACTTCAAATTTTTATGTAAATTTCCCTAATCATTCATGAACAAATCTAATGTTTAAACTTCATAGATTATTTTATTTACCTCCCTCAATCATCTGATTTGATAAATTTTGAATAGAAGCTTTATATATCTTTTTTTGAATTTTAATAGAAATAATATTGTTTTGAAAGTATGCTTTTATTACACTATATTTCCATTATTCAGACAATAGGGTACAATAAAAAAAAAAAAAAATGTCAAAAGGTGACGAACCCACAATCTTTTTCACAGGTAACAAGTTCAATTTTTTCTCATAGGTGTCATAGGTGTGGTGAATCCGTACAACTATATTTAGCGATGTTTTCCGCCCACTGAAATTAAAGAGGCACAGATTGGACACACGGCAACAGCTTGACATATTTCGCCACGACAGTAGGAGGAAATAAGGCAGTATTCGATGATCGGAAAAACCTGTTGGTGATCCCATAGTAGAGATGTTTAGCTTCTTTACTAGCGGTGCCTTGAGACTGACTGCATTCTCCGATGACTGCCCTGAAATACTTGTACATGTCCTGACAGATGGCCGATTTATGTTTCCGTTTAAGTTTCCATTTTGCTATTTTGGAATCGCCTTTATCTTTCACTAAATGAGTTTACAATCTTTATTTAGGCCATAGTAATCAGTAGCACTGTACCCTATCACCCCTCATATTATATCATATAGACTTGTTTATCAAGTTTGATTAATAAACGAACTCGTTAGAAACTACCTTAAATAGAAAGGAGCTGTAATAGCACTTTGGTTTTAGGTGCACGAGTTCAAATCCCTTCGATTTTCATGAATTCTTTCCACAACCAAAAACAGTCCCACTCCCTAATCTTTACATTTATTCTCAAATATTGTATTTATATATTTATTTGCTATAACATATATTAAATGTGTTTTAGCTATGGCAAAATCTACAAAAGAAATAAATAAAAAAAATTAATTTGGAAAATACATTATTTTATTATTTTTTTCATTTATTGTTTTATCATTTTATAGTTTATTATATGTAACACCTTACAGAATGATAAAACTTGCATATAAATCAAACATAAGGTATTATTAGATAGATAATATTAGCAGCACCTATTTTAAGTGTTATAAAATTGATGAGTGTTTCTATAAATAGAAATATGTGCAACAAGGTTATACTACATTAATCCTATTAGAATATATTACATGGCAAAATCCGCATTATAATTTAAAAAAAATAGGTTTTGTTATTATGTTATTTTTTTAAATATTTGTTATCAGTTCCAAACACATCATATTAAGCAACAAAGAAAGGCAAACTCTCTCACAGTAAACCTTTACACCTTTATTTTTTTTAATAGTTCGTCTTCATTTTTTTTTCTTTTTCTTATCTTTAGCAAACAATTTTAGAATATCGGTTATTCAGGCAACTATCAATAAACACCATTTGTCAAAGAGCAGCCGTGCCTTCAATCAAACTCACCCCCGCTGTTATTTCATTTCCTTCACTCGACTATTGGTGAACGTTGTTTAGGATGTGTATTTATAGTAAATAACTGATGTCACAGGTAAGTGGTTACCATCTGGTTTCAGTAGTTATTTTCTATCTATTTGTCATTTCGATTTTCTTAGAATACACGCCCTCTGCTTGTTCAAATCAAATTTAGTAAATTGACCACATTTTCACAAACGTGCGAGCAAAACCTTTTGACCTATAAAGCATGCTACTGCTGGAAGGGTTCAACCAAGGATGGACACCTTGTTAATTTCCAAATAGAGGGCGCTGGTTATAGAGCCAATTCCATGAATTTCTATTTAAGTATAATTTAAATTCATACAATATTTCAAATAAAGTTATGAACATTCTTTTTTATTGAGTATTCCTTTTCTAATCTATGAATAGAACTATACAATTTAAAAATTTCTATTGAATAAACCTTTTGTATTCTGTTGTGCATTGTTATGTGCTTTGCTCACTTTTATCATACTATTCAATACAAAGAACAAAATAAATTCCAGGTTTTAAAGGCAAAAATAGATAGCCACCATATCTATTGACACAGAACACAATTCCTGCAGTCATATGCAGTATCAAATTATGGTAAAATATGTTAATATCTACCTTACTAGGAATTTAAATATTTTGTTTTAAATTATCATTACCACCTAAATTAATTATTCTGATTCCGATTTTTTTTATTTTTTTTTCTTTCAATTTCTTTTATCAATATTATAAACTTTGAATAAGAGACTCTGTCTGGGCCTCGCAGCGGATATAATGCGGTGCTAGTACAAAGGCGGGTGGATTTATTCGGTTGTAAACACCAAGGATAACCCAGGAAAGTCTGAAGAAGACTTATTTCAAGTGGGGTCCTTCTAGTTGTGCTCAAACGTTTCATCTGAAGGAGGGTGCACTATCGTAACTTGCATTTCAGTCTAACTGAAACATAAAAAGAGGAAGCGATGGAAATTGAACCAGGGACCTAGATTTACACGGTTTAGTGCACGCACAGTGGCTACCACTAGTTTAGCTGACTGAGCTAAGCTGCTTTTAGACACATGGATACATTATCTTTTATCGCACCTAACACTCAAGCGAGAGTTATTCAATTTTGAATTTTTTGGATGGAACTATATATTTTGAATTAACAAAAACTGATATGCAGCAAGTAATAAATAATTTTATATGATACATAACATAAATAATAACAGAAAAAGTATACAAAGAATGCTATGCAAATATTAACATAATTGACTGAGAGATACCATAAGTAAATGACAGAATAACATTTAGTAAATAATATATAATATTTTTGTATAGAATCAGAGAAAAGAATTGAATAGAAAACTAAATGAAAAATGGAATCTAATGGAAATTCTTCTATAAATGTGTCTTGATCAACTTGTAATTTTATGTACAGGCCTACATTGTATGTACAAGCATTTAATAATGTTTTTCATCATCCTACATTCTATTGTGCAGGACCATTGGTTAATAACAGGTGCATCTATGAAAATGTACTTTCGGTAAATAAGTTTTAATAAAATAACATAAAAATAACTCAAAATAAAGCATTTTTGAATCAACACAGCACAAACTACAAGACAAAAGTTACAGACACAACTCAAGTCACTCAATACATCTGTCTGGCCTTTCTCTAAAAAAAAATTGTATCTTAAGACATAAAACTGTGCATTTTCTGTACTTAGGTTTTCTAAACTATTTTTGCTCGCTAATACCTTGATACAAATGATAATTGGTTTGGATCGAATGAGTGTCAAACTAACTTGGGTGTTGTCGGTTTTCACGCTATAAATAAACTCCTCACTTATCCTTCGGTTACATGTGCCTGAACCTAAATTCAATTCATTTCAGCCGTGATACTAGCAATTAACAACATTAGCTAGGTAGAGCAACAAAGCCAAATCTCAACTGTTTCAATTTGTTCATTCTCTGTTTTTCTGTTAAACGTCTCAATACCTTAAGCAATTGACGACAGACAGAATTAGGTATTTAAAGCCAATGCAGCTAATAATACACTTTCAGTAAGTGGAAAATAATAGAGGGAACAAATTTAAGATTAGCATATTGTTGAATTTTAGTATACTTCAGGATAGTTTGTATTTAATAGCATCATGTTAAACAAATTCTAACAGAGTAAAAATATTGAGCTATTCATAATTTTATGGCTTCAATTCTCAACAAAATCCATATATTTTCTAACAATTAACTGTAATATTAAAACATCATTGTTAATGAAGACAGCCCATCTGGTGAAGTTAATTCAATTTTCAATTCAATTACATTAATTCTATTTGGTACAATATGTTACAAATGGCCACTATTTACAAAACTATCTGACTGAAAAACAATACCATAGAAAATATCAATATTTACTATTCTGTTGTGATTACATTGGCCCGTTCAAAGAATTATAGACCATAGATTCAAGGAAAATCTCTGCTTGATTTAGCGAGGGAGTTTAGTAGTGCATCTATAAAGTAATGACATGGTGATGATGACGGGGACGATGAGGGGGACTGGTGAGGGGGCTAATGGGGGCCTGATGAGGAGATGTCGAGAGGCAATGAGGGAGGGGACATTAGATAAGAAAAGTGTGGTGGAGGAATGACATAATACAAGATAATCTTCCACTCCTGTACTATATATTTTTTTTTGCTCAGCAAGTGTTTATAGGGAAGTGTACAGTCACATCACCTTCCTTAAATAAGTGACTACATCTAGGTTTTTTGCAGAGAATGTACCCATAAAATCAAAATTAGAATATGATCATGTAAACTACTAAACCACCTGTATCATCATATTTTATGATTACCACCAGTATGCATATTCAATTAAATTAAACTGCATGGCTACATTATTAACATGAATGAAAATCAATAGTATTCTATTAATAAGTTTGAAAACAAAAATAAAAATAAACAATAGATTGAAATGCAGTAAGGGATGTGATAAGGAGCTAAAATGAAAACATGAATACATGAAACATGGATACTGAGAAATATGAAGAACATGGATCAAGGGAAAAGATGCTTGCTAAATTAATAATGAAAAAACATAACAAATAACATATAAAAAAAATTGTAAAACAAAAAATTTTTTTTAGAAGAAATTAACGAAAATGAGGCAATTTGAGTATTTTGTACAATTAAAATAATGGCACCAAATATATACTAATAGGATGAGCTCATTCAATTCGGAGATTGGCATCACATGACCTAAGTTGGGTGCTGGATGTAAACAATGGACTGGCACAGCGGTGTTTATATGGCGGCTGTCCCTTGTTATTGCTGTAAATATCATCATAATTGCTGCATCTGTTTTTGTTGAATGTAACTGAAGTTACTCTAAGTTGATTGCCGAGCCCCAAAATTCGCCACACAACTTTCGTGTCACTGGTCGTCCAAGAGAATTAGGGATAATGACGGCAAATGTTGGGTCATATTTCACAGAAAAATATGTCGATAGCTAGACCTCTACTACTGCAACCTGTGCCGTAAGGCGTGCAGATGATGAGGAGTAATCTTGGTTGGGACGCCAGTAAATTACCAAATTGATTTGAAATTGAACTTGAGAATTTTGCCTCAATGGTTTGCTATTAATATTATGCTCCAAATAAAATGATACTGTTCCTAAACATTGGAGACTTTTCGACAAATGTTAGGCCCAGGCCCCTGCAATCCTACAGCCTGTTTACGGTAGGTATGAACGAGAGTCTTCGACCCGCGAACTATGCTAAAATTTCTAGGCTAGCTAAGGTTTCACGAAGGATCACATAAACTTCAAAGCATACAATGCAAGGAGAATGCTAGAATAAGTAAATAAACACTGTTTTGAACAATCTTATTGCCTTTCCTTGCCATTTATTTCCCACGTTAACATTGGGTGGTTGTTTTTGCAACCATAACATTACCTTTTCCTATACTTTTACACTGATCGCACTGTAATGTTTTGCATGGTTGTACCAACTGTAAACAAATGTTGCCGAATAGGTCTATTCAATTTAAATCTGTTTCCAAAATATATTGTTCCATTTGAACCTACACGTTGATGTGTTGCTTACCTGTTCTGTTGGACTATAGTTTGGTTCCTTGATTACATTAACTTGGTCTAAAAAACTGAAAGACAAAAAAATGACAACAAAATTAATAATATGTCGTGCATCTTATAATCATCGATAAACAGCAATAACAATCATATAATATAAAGAAATTCATAAAAACAGACATTAAGATAAACGCCTGGGATAATAGTGAGGTCTCACCACAAACTGTGTCTCCTGGTTAGAAAATCAAAAATAAAGTCCATATTATGTTTGGGTAGATGTTATAAGCTTTAATTTGGTTTCTGAATGGCTTCCCTAGGATAAGTAGATCCAGGTGTGAGCATTTAAAGTTTAGGAGGACCGCGTTTTGAAAAAATTCTTTATGTAAATTTTGAATTGAGAGGTTGTTATTTATTTTACTGTAATTTAATTAGTTAATACGCTCTTGTTTTACTATGTGTATTGAGGGTCCCTAATGATCAGCTTCGGCTGGATGGACCACCCTCATTAAAGATTGTTGAAATAAAATAAATAAATAAATAAAATAAATAAATAATAGGACTAGAATTACAGAATATGGGCAGTGAACACTGTTTTAGTAAGAAAATTCACTTAGAAAGTATATAATCATAAAATATAAATCAAGTTGTTCAAAAACATTAAAATCTAAGTTTTGTAAACATTTTGACATTGTTGACCTATTTTGGTTAATATCTAAATATGAGTTCAGCAATAATGCATCTCATTTCGCGGTGAGGCCTCACAATTTGTTGAACTACCAGTGCAATTATTACTCAAAGCTCAGCACTCTTGATGATATAATTTCCATGGTCAATTTTACACAAGAATGCTGTTTGGCAAAACTCAACAGATGTTTGATGAGACCCATTAAATGAAGTACAACATTTTCGGACTTTTATCAGACATGGGCAAACAATTTGCAGTGGTACCAAGTGTACCAATACAAATAATGCAAATGTGGTTATTAGGTTTCATGAAAACAAATATGATTGTTACATTTTGTATGTTTTTCACTATTGACCCACCTTTAAATTGAAAATATAATGTTAATGTTCTTGGACAAATGATAGAAAAAATGCACACAAATTTATGCAACCATAAATTTATGCAACCATAAATTTATGCAACCATAAATTTATGCAACAATTGTATATAGAATGGAAATGTTAATTGCTGTAGATTTGTATAGAGCATAACACCAGGTCTCTATGCACATTTAAACTATGTCCAAAAGAAGTTGAATAAAACAAACAAAAAAGATAAAGAAGAAACAACGAAAAAAGGAACAACAAAAATCATCAACAAAAATTAAAAATTATTAATTAAATGGTTGCTGGGATGACAGGGAATCTTTCAATAACTCATAAATAATTTTTTCGTAATAATATTGTTGACAAGAGAAGAAAAACAATGTAATAATATTAATATAATTAATATTTATTGTGGCTGTTGTTAGTGATGAAGGATTTCATAATACCATATTCAGTACTGTACTCTACCAATATTATTTGTGAGGCAGCCATTGGATAGTGGTAAAAAGCTGATATTTTATTCCTTAACAAGCTATTTTAGGCAAGTCACTAACAATGTTATGCTGTTCATTTTATGGCCGGCATGAAGGTACGTCGTTCTCAAGCAACCAGCCTGGGAATACCAACCCAAAGTAGGGGGGTTATCCGCGAGTGACACAACAGTTTCCTGTGATGTGACTGACAGTTTGAGAAACTGCAAAACAAAGAGAACCTAATATACTTGAAATTTACCATCCCTGTCACCTAAGTTTAGCAATGCAGTTGTTTGCAATCAACAAGTAAATCGGGAAGAAAATTATCTCGCACTCACAGGTGGGGCCTGTAATAACTGAAGTATATCCCTAATCCTTGTAATGCTCGCAGTAAACGTTTCAACAAGTCTTATTTTTAAGTGACCTCAAAAACAGGATATGAACCGGTCACAGCCTTATCAGGCTATTTTTAACGCGCGTGCTCACGTTATGGCAGAGAATAAAGCCAACGTTGCATTCACTATCGCAGGTGAACATGTTCCATCAAAGGAAACTATGGTCCGAAACCAGTTTTTATCAAATACGTACATTTTATATTTAGAACACTAATGGCCCCTAACTCTAATAATGAGCCCCCTGAATTTATTTCCTCAGGATAACGATCTTGAGCATATTTTTTGTTCACCTCTTTCGTTTGGTTGGAATAACAGTTTACACATCCAAACTCCTTTTTCGCTGGAGAAGTAATAGCAATGCATAATTTTTTTCATCTTAAGTTTGTTTTTTTTTTGGTTTAAGGTGTTGGTTGCTTTGGACTTAACATGTTTCCTGTTCAGGGAGCCTATATTTACACCTGATTTCCTGTCTGAATCTCGGATAATTGGAGCAGTAGAAAGTAGGCTAAGACCCAGAACACAGGTATCAAAATCTCACAGAAAGTATCCAAAAAAACATACAAACCTGAATGATAAAACGAAAATAGAACAAAGAACACCGAAGCATATTAAGTATTAAATCTATAATATTTTATGTAACTTTTAACTCACAAGAAATCTGAATTTTATAGATACAAAAAGCATTAATATTTAACAAGATTAATCACTGATATTTGTTGTACCGTAGCTACAAATAGAAGTGAAAAAATACAAAATAATCTGTACATATTCATATGATTATTAGATGGAATACCATTTGCTAGCAGAAAATGTGTACTACCTGTACAGCATTGTGTAGAGAGACATCTAATAGAAACTGTATCTATATAATATGCGGTACAATTATATGCATACTATAACTGATACATAGGCTTCTCTGCATTTTCGCCAACATTCTGCCAGCTAAAAATATAAAGCATAATTAAACTCTTGTTGCAGCCTCATAGCTGCAACTATTTCTAGGTACCTCAATACGACCACGATCATAAAGCAGTTCCTAATTATACTGGCTAGCTGGTTGCGCTAAAAATAGCCTGCCCGTGCTATTTATAGCTCTCCCATTACATGCCACTGTGTATGCTCTATTGATTGATGGAGTAAAATGGAATCCTAATGTACCATTATAATATGAGTAGTGACTGCATTTTCTAAACACAATCATGCATACTTTTTTGTAAACTGCGCTATCCATATCACAATAGGTCCTTTTTGTATCAAGTTTTAATTGCAATACATATACTTCACATGGTATCAATTTTTTTATTTCCTCAATTTGTTTTTAATGCATAATATTAAATGTGTTCAAAATAAACACAATTTCTATAAATAGCATGCTATAAATAGTATAATTGCCAAATTAATTAATTTATTGATTAATAAATTTGTTCATTGTTGAATTATTCATGCAGCAATAAGCATTGTCGGCGTCAAGCACAGACATTTTTTTTTATTAAATTATTTTCGAAGAAAAAGTAATATGTGTGTGTTAATATTTTTTTTAATTTTTTTATTAACATTAAAGGATCATTATTTTGTACTTCTTTTGGTCAGCATCAAAAATTAACATTACATGATTGAATTTAAACATAATTTAATCCTAGACAATATATTTACCGAAATTTACCGATGCAAAACGTAGTTAGTTTATATAAGGCTATGTCCCATCAAAACCAAATTAATGAAAAGAAACCACTACCTCTAATGTACTTTAGTTGTTTCTATGACTTGTTAAAATTGTATATATTTGTTGTCTTTTTAATTTGATGTACAATGATATTTTTCTCTCCTTGCGGGAGTAGTGTTCTGTTGAACTGGATAGAACCAATAAATAAATCTTAGAACTGAACAATGCAAATCTCAAGAAAAGCTTTAAAAATACCCCCAGAAATATAATAAAATTACAAAAAATAAATGCAAAATTTCAGTTTAAGAATTAGATGTCACGATAACCATTAAAATCCCAGATTATCTTGTTTCCACTGGCGTCCAGGAAAGAAATTTTACAAACCTACCGTCCAAAAAAAAACTGGAAGACACATTTCAATTTCCGGTACAATTAGTACAATAATGCTTAAGTATTCTTGATTAAAATGAAAAATTAATATTCCATATTTACAAAACACTACTGATATTACGGTAACATATTAATAATCTCATACTTATGAGTCCCATAAAAAACACTAACATGAATCTTATACAGTACTTGATTTGACTAAACATGATTAAATTATAATGAGGCCTACAGTATCTCTGTAATGCAGGCTGTGAAGAATGGATGTTGCTGCAATAGCGCAGAGGAAACGCTTATTCGGTGACTAGTCTTGGCCTAAGAATTCTATCAGTATTCACCAGCCTGATATCTCATCAATTATTCTATACCTGGTGATGTAATTACTTATGCGCTGAGCTATTTTTAGCACAACTCGGTGTTATTTATAGCCACAGTAAGGCCACTCCACAATGGCCTTGCAGAGGAAGAGGCAGAGCCAGATATTTGGTAGCATAGCTGGCCTTATCAGTTATAATAAAAGCCAGCATTATCAAGGGTGCTTTTACATACACTTAGCAACACTAGAGATTCTACAGCGCATTACACATTGTAACAAATTCAATCGAAATCAAACATTTATAATATATTTATTCCTCCAGACATTATGCACACTGTATTACAATACAGTGCACTGAGAACTGGAGAAAAAAAAATGTATGCAACCAAACAGCATTATTTAGATATGAAAATGCAACGGTTTGCATTACAAGTATCCGTTAATATTTTAATATTCAATTTGCTGTTGCGAAGGTTTGTTGTAGCAAAACTTCTCATAATTGTCAACTAAAGATCATGAGTTCAGTACAGCTAATAGCATTAATGACAATTATAATAAAATTTCATTTTATAAATAATTGATCATTATAATGTAAATAATTTAATAAAACTTTATATTAATTTAAATATTAAATTATAATAAATTATGCACAAGTGAGACTATGCACAGTATGAAAGTATGAAAATTAGCAGATGCCATTGAAGTGTGCTCAATGGTCTAGTGATACAAGTACATTAGGCCCCAGGGTTGTAGGTTCGAATCCCATCCACATGAAATCTTTCATATG